GTGTATCTTGTCTCTAATAAGATTAACTTTTGTCTTTGCTTTATCTTATTGGGGAGTTATATGTCAGTGTTTATATATTCTCTTTAGATGCATACATACAGGATAAACTCCTGTGAATCAATCTGCTATATCAACAGACATAAGCATTTATTTCAGTAGATATTGCCAAATACCTACAAAATTTTTAATCAATTTATACTTCCTCCTAAAATGCAGATGAGCCTGTCTTCTCCCCACATCCTCACCGTTTAGCATATTTTATATTTGCCAATCTGAAAATTAATTTTTATTTGTACGATGAGAAAAGGTGAGCACCTTTTCATGTTTTAAAAACTTTACCATTTCCTCTATTCATTTTTCTGCTAAATTTCCATTTCTTTATTTATTATGAAAATTTGTCATTGTTACAAATATTCTGGTCTGTCATTAGACTTATATGGTATTTTTGCCATATTTTGGCATGTAAGTTTAACTAAACGAAGGCAAATGTATCCATCACATATGCTACAAAATCTTTTCACTCCAAAAATATAAAAGTATTCACAGGTTTTATTGCAGCACTTTTCAAGGTTCAACTAAGGAATGAGGAACAGACCCAATTTATTTTTCTAGATGGTCATTAAACTTTCCCAACCCCGTTTACACAGTAACTCACATTTTCTCCAGTTATTTGAAAAGCTACTTCCATCAAATATTTATGCCCTTTTATATTAAGGTCTACTTTTAGATTTTTCTGTTTGGAATTGATTCATATACCAATACCTTGTTTTATAATGTATTTTAATGTCTGATAAAGTTAAACAGTTAAATAATCTCCCTCTTTTCCTCCACAATTGTCATTTCTTAGCTAGTCTCAATATCTTATTTTCCTAAATTAATCAGACCCAACACCTTTATTATATCAATGTGACATTGATATAATTCCCAGCCAAGAAGTCTTTCATTGCTTTTATAGTTTTCTATAGAGCTAACTCTTTCTATACCCAACCACCAAAGCTGAATATCTCACTGTTTATAATATTTGAAAATTGAGCCTCTTGGGCTTTCCAAACATACAACCCTATCTGTAAATAAAATTTTGTATCTTATTTCATTCATGTCTAATTCATTGGCTAGTACCTTCAGAACAACATTAAGTAACAGTGATTGAAGTAGATGGCCTTCCCAGACTTTTGGAAATGCCAGCATGATGCTTTTGGCTTGAAAGTGAAGTATCTTATTGCACATGACCATGTACCCAGCATGAAACATATGGCCCCTACATCAGGAGTTCACAATAGTGGGGAAGGCTCTCAAAAGAAGCAAGAGTTCACACAAGGGAGAATAAGTTTGGTCTTGGTACAATATAATAAAGAATTGTAAGAGAAAAATAAACTAATGGGTANAAAATATGTATAATTGATTTTGATTCAATAAATACATTTTTTAAAAAATTAATTACAATTTCCACTAGTACAGTAACAACTCTATTTAGTAAAAGAATATACTGGGATGACAGACATTGTCCAAAAATGCCATATTCAATAAGTAGAAGGAAAACAGGAATCTTTAATTCAAACCAACGTGCTAAATAGGCAATACAGGCACGTTTTAAAAAACATTACTCCAAAAAACAAACAAAAACTACAGATGGAGCTACAGTTAGTTGTAAGCCTCACTCCAGGCCTCCTAGTCTCTCATTTCCCTTTCCAGCAACAACTGTGCACTTTCTTATCTTTCTTTCAAGAAACAATAGTATATGTTACTTTTATTCATCCTAATTTATCCTACCTTATACTGTACTATTTTATACCTTGTTTCAGCCCCTTGACAAAATATTTTTATTGGCTTCATAGTAGTCCTTTTATGTGGATGTCCAAACTTCATTTAAATTGTTTCAAGGCCACAATAAATATTCTTGTATATTCTCTTTATTTTTTTTT